GGGAATATAGTTCAGCAGCATAAGCACCTGCCTGGTAGGTGCAAGGTCCTGAGTTTGATTCCCAGTATCAAAAAACAAAGCAAAACAAAAGAGCATGTCTTAGCCACTTTCTCATTGCTGAGACACAATATGTGACAGCTTAAATTTCAAGGAGGACAGGTTTATTTTGGCTCATGGTTTGTAGAGGTTTCAGTGAATAGTCGGGTGCCTTCAAGGCAAGATAGCAAAGGCACAGGGGCATGACAAAGGAGAAGCTGCTCATGGCAGGCCAGCGGGGAAACAGAGAATGTGAAGGGAAGACAGGGAGACATGTTCCCAGTGACCCACCTTCTCTGACCGTGCTCCACTTCCCAATATCATATTTAGCCATAAGCTCATCAGTCGACTAATTCACTAATGAGTATCATGCCACCAAGACCCACTCACATTCCAAAAGTCCCACATGCATGCATTAGGCTTAGGGGAGGGAAACATCTAAATATAAATCATAACAATGTATTTGTTCAGCTGGTCTCTTAAATATTTTCATCTATAATATCCATTTCCAAACTTCTTCCTTTGCAATTTATTTATTGAAGTCAGCTCATACATATAATGGACTTCATAATTATGATTTTGCTGTTTGCATTCTTATGGTACCCTTGCAAACTAAGACATACAAACCAATTAGGTTCATTTGGGGAAAGGGACAGAATACTTTTTTTCCAGAATACTTTATAAGTGAGTGTTACACATATCCATTGAGAATCATTGTCTAAATGTGGCTTAGTCAATTTTCTCATTGCTGAGACACATTACCCAACACCAACAACTTACAGAAAATGTTTAAATGCATGGTTTTGGAAGATTCTGGTCCATAGTCACTGGTTACAATGCAGGAATGTCATGGTAGAAAGGTCTGGGCAGAGAAAAGCTGCTCATGTCATGGCACCAGAAGGGAGAGAGAGAAGGAAGAACCTGGGGAGGGAGACACACACTTCCAGGTCATGACCACAGTGTGCTTTCTCTTCTGACCGGGCTCCAACTTCCAACAGCATTCTCACCCACCAGTGGATGAATCCACCAGTGAGTAAAGCACCTTCATGATTCAACCACCTTCCCACTTTGGGGGAACAGTTCAGATTAAACTGTAAAAACATGTGAGATATTGACATTCTGGTATTGCTAGTTCTTCAGCATTTGTGGGAATAGCTGTATAAAAATGAAACTCTCCTACATAAATTTCTGGTTACTCTGAAGTATGATAATTTAAAAAAGATATCAAAATACATCATTAGTCCACAGTGATATTTCTAATTCAAATTTAGGGTTATGTGGTTATTATTTGATTTTACAACTGTATCCTTTTTCTCTTATATTACACATCTTGGACCCTAATTATTTTAGGACATAATTATTTTCCTCATTACTTTTATATGTCAGTGTAACAATATCAATTTTATTAGTAGTAGCTTGATTAAAAAGCATAAAATTCCTTAGCAGGTATTCTGGCAAAAAGGTTTACTGACAGAGTTGAGATCTCTGGGTAGAGTTCAACAGGCCGTTCCTACAGGTCCAAAATGGCTTGAGAGAGCCAGCAAAGAAGACTGGGCTGAAGGTGTGGCAAATGTGACGGATTCTAAGAATAGTAAAGGGGTTGCATGGCTTGAACCCCACCGGAACCATCAGGAGTACCTAGGCCTATCTGTCTGTCCAGATATGTGCCCAAGAACAGGAAGTATGAGGCTTAAAGCCATTGTGCAAGACCACGTGGATGGCTCTCCTTGAATACAGTTACCTCTAATTTGGCTACACCTGGCCTTATCACCATGCACTGATATGTACAGAGCTGGCTAAGCTATTTTCTTTTCCCTTCAACTGGTTCCCAGCAATGTAAACTGGTCTAGCTGAGGTGCTGATGTGTAATCGTTGAAGCCAGCTGACAGTCAACTGTTTCCCCATCTCAGAGCCTATAATGGTTAAGCCCAGGAGAATGGTAGAGCCAATGTTCTAGGAATGTCAATTGAGTTTGAGTCTCAAGATAAGAGGCTATGACTTCCCAGGGCACAAAAGTTTACACATCATAAACTGAAGCAACAGCCTCCTAAATATTGAACGCTACCTTAGGGTGTTATGCAGATTGGTCTTTCTGCACATCCTTCTCTCTGCATATTGCAGAGGTGCTTTCTGTCCTCCTAGCTAGCCCAGCTCCCAGTACTCGTGTAATTCCCACCATTCTCACAGTCCCTCATCCTTAGCCACTACCTTCTTCACAAAGTAATAAAACCCAGGTTGGGCCCTGGGTGTGGCCTTTGTTCCATGAACCCTCATCTGGACTGGACCCAGGACCTCTTGGCTGCCCTTAATTATAAATATATCTTAGCATCTTTATCTTCACCATGGCCTGCACTGGAGGCAGTAGATTGAAATTAACTTGCTAGAATTCCAATAATGTTTCTATGGGATTACAAATATAAACTTCCCAAATCACAACTAGGGCAGGAAAGGACAAATCAATGCCTTGGTCACTAACAGTAACACCTGAGACTCAGGGTGAGATCTTATCGAGGTATCTTTTATGGCCTGATTGCATACAGAGACATCTGTGGTCTTGATTTCTATCAGTGATGGCAAACCTTTTAGCCTTCAGTGACAACAAAGAGCTGGCTGTGGCATGTGTGCCATATGTTGCCATCACTGATTTATATTTTGGGTATCTGTGAGGCAAGAATTTCCCAGAATTCTCTACCGAAAGGGTCAATGGTCCAAGAATTTATGAAAATGTGCAGTTGGGACTATCTGTTGGCCAGAAGCTTCTGGTGTCAAGATGGCTGCCTGAAGTTTGGCCAAATGTGTTAAATGGGACTTTCCGGTCAAGAGGCAGAAAGCAGCCAGAGATCCAGCTCAGCAGTGCAGCACTTGACTCACAAGTGTGAAGTCCTGAGTTCGATTCCTGGTACCCACAGGAGGAAAAAAAAAGCAGGAAGCAGCAACTACAAAGTGAGCTCCAATACCATGATAGTGGTGACAAACTGCTATTGCTGCTCACTCAGTTCACCCCAGAGGACTCCTCAGGTAGCCATGAAGTCTGGGGGGAGGGGTGACCCTTCAGAACTTCAACATCTGTCAAGGATGCAGGTGAAATATGCCAGAGGACCAAAGGCCGTTCTACCTGTACCAAGAGCACTTGGTGGCCATGATGAACTTAGGTGCTGCTTCCATGCTCTGAGCACAGTGAACAACGGGGTATGGTGGGCCAGAGATTCAGGTCTGTGAAAGCCTCATTAACCAGAAGCCAGCATGTGGCCAGCAACTAATCTCCCAGAGGGCATATGGTGTGGGAATATGGAAACGAGGCTGTTGCACCAAAACCCTCTATGGCCAATCTGGGTAGCTGAGATTCAGGGGCATGAAAAGAGGTTACTACAGCCTTTGCTGTGAAAGGATCCTGGTGGGGCTTCATCAAGGGTTCCTGTAGCATTGCAATTTGAGAGTCCAGAGTTCTTTGTTAGTGGGGCCTAAGGTGGGCTGGAACACAACAGGATAAATGAACAAAATTTTTGAATGAGGCATGTTTTGTCTCTGGAACAAAGATCTAAAAGAAGTTGTAGGTACCTTGTAGATCAACAGCTGCTTTTTAGTTGTCAGCAAGAGTAGTGCTTGGCTTACCAAATCACTTTCAGGACCTTGAGAGATGTGGTGGATCCTAGCGCTTTTCCTTGGATAAGGTCTCTTATATTTGCATGTCCTGAATGAGCCAAAATGTGAATCACTATTGTGCTCCTGGAGAAAGGTGAGTTCAGTTAAAATCTTACCCATGAGGGTCATGTATGTTGTGAAGGCTGTTAGGGCACCTATGTTCACCTGGGAAGGGTGAATTATGTGCCTCCAAATATGAGGACAAACTGCAACTGAAAGCTGTTGCAACAGGCACAGAAACTTGTCAGCCAAATCTATACAAACAATGTACTTGCCAGTTGCCAAATGGAGGGAGTCAGTAGTTTCAGCAACACTGGGTACGGGCCTCTAATAGATGAGACCACAGCATTAAGGGTTAATAACCTACTTCCAAGCAGTGTTCTTTTCAGATTCAAACACAGGTCAAACTGGCCTGGTAAAACAGCAGGAATAATCCCCTGTTCGTTAAATAGATCTCATATAATAGATTCCAATCTTCAAAGGCCTTTTGAAAATTTATATTGGGCTATATTAACTATTTTAGCTGGGGCTGGGGAAGTGCTTTGGGTCCTATGTTGTAATGCCAACTTTTAAGTGCCAAAGACTAAACTTCAATTGCTATTCATTGGTCAGAGCTACTGTGCCTTTCATGGAACATTTTAGGACAATGGGCACTATGGTTATAGGGAGTTTAGGAGAGGCAATGGTTCTGATGATTAAAGTGTGCTGGACCTATTTGTCCTATTTTATAGTCACTATGCCTGCTGTGAATATAAAGCACCTGGGTAGATCCAGTGGCACCCCAGGCATACCTCCAGTGACATATACTGTTTTAAGTCCTTGAAGTTTTGCCAATTGGTGCATTTCAGCAGATGATGACTTTGAGCAGCTGGAATCATTACGTGCCAATGAACATGGCATTGTTGTTGTTAGGCAATAAACTCTTAGTCAATTCTAAATTTCTACTTGAGGTAAATTGTGACTATTTCAGTTTATTTTCTCCCTTCTATACTCAGGATTTTTTCCTTTTATCCTTTTTTTCTAGAGGAGGGGCACACTGTTAAAAGAAATTATCAAATCCTGCGTGACAAAGGCAGAGGGTTCCCTGCCAAAGCACTGTGCTGGATTGTGCTCCATGGTGTGGAGGTCTAGCCAGTGGGTGGGAAGATAACAGTCCACATGTGCACTCAGGACTGCAGATGTCAGTTTTCCCTGCAAGCTATTGCCCCAGGGACGATGCTGCTCTGACGGTGAGGGGAAACCAGAGCTGAGAAGAGGCAGCAACTCATTCTGGCTCAAGCCCATCGGGTTGACTTTCCCTTACCTTGAACAACTCTTCCATATTTTCTTCTGCAACAGATAATCTTGCCTCCCCAAAATTTGAAAACATAGGAGCTGAAAGCTGTCCTGAAAGGCCCTCCCTTTCCTACTGTATCTACATGTCTACCTATATTTGCCCATTTTTTCTGGTACATCACAGAGTGCCTCTTTATATTCAACACCATTATCTCTATTTGTGGAGGAAGGATTTCATTTCTCGTTCTTCCCTCCACCTCTCCCAGCTCCCCATTATCCCTGCCTGCCTGGACTAGAGAGACCCTCCCCACCGGGCTCCTGCCCCAGATTTCATGCAGCGGGCGTCTCTGTAGTTCTCTCACTTCTCTTTTGCAGGAAAACTTCCTTCTGCACAGGGTGTAATGCAGTTGCCCCTCCTCCTGTCTACCCAGGTCCCTTTTCCATGGGTGCCTTGTTGCTTCTCTTCCTCCCCCACTACTGAATGCTCAGTGCTGGTGAGACTTGGGCCTGTCTGAGGTCCCTTCCTCATTCTCTCTTTAATTATCTCATATTTTCCTGGGGATCCATATCCCATTTTATGTATTATTTTGGAGTTGCTGAGAATCCAACAAGGACTCATGTACTTTAAGGAAGTGCTCTACCACTAAGCAACACACCCAACCTATTTAAAAGTATACCAGTGACTCTCAGGCTTGCATCTCTATCCCCAAACTTTTCTTGAGGTGCAGGGCTGTTAACAATCAGTTGAATTCTTAGACACCTCAAACTTGACTAGCTCCAAAAGAAACCCGTGATTTTAACCCCTGACTTTAGCCTGCAGAGATCCATAAGCTGATAACCAAAAGAGCAGTAGCTGTCCTGGGCAGATACATTTGAGGCTAGTCCTGTTATGTCACAGTGTTACGTCCATCCTTGATGTGTGAGGGCTGGGAAGCAGGCAGCAGATTTCAGGTAGCTGTTTCCTTTGTTTCTCCCTCCTCATTCCCTTTCTGTTATCAAATCAGCATCTCATTATGTAATTCAGCCTGGCCTTTAACTCACTGTGTAGCCCAGGCTGGCCTCAAACTCACAACAATCTTCTGTTCCCACCCTCCCAAGTGCTGGGATTATGGGCATGCACCACCATGCATGATTTATCTGGTAGTTTCAAAAGGAATGAAATGGACAAAGGGGAAAAAGAACTTGGAAAGTTGTTCCTGTCCATGCTCCACTGTCCTCAATGGTATAAAGTGGGTTTGTCTGTAGTACTCCAATAAATTCCTCATCTAACTTAATGCTAGTTGAGTGTATGTTTTTATTTGCTACCAAACATTAAGACACTTTCTAGTTAGGGTAATTTGGACTAAGTCCTAAACTATTTCTATTCAGATTTTGATTGAGGCCATACTGAATCTATACATAATTTGGGAAAATATTTTATCCTTAAGATGTTAAGTGTGTCACCAGATGTGGTGGCACTTATCTGTTATCCCAGCACTTGGGAGGCTGAGGTTGAGGGTCATCTTAAGTTTGAGGTCATGCAGTGAGTTTAAGGGCAGCCAGTTTCACCCTCAATTATGTATTTTAGATATGTAATATATAAGATATTATGTATCTATAAATAAGACTTCACTATATCTGTTTTCCTAATCTCCCTTTGAAAAAGTTTTATGTTTTAAAATTTGAGTCATGGGCCAGGGATTTAGCTCAGCAGCACAAGCACGAGGTCCTAAATTCAATTCCTGGTACCAAAAATAGATAAATGAAATTTTAAAAATTGAGTCATGAACCTTAAGAAGGGAAACTGATAAACATATACAAAACCACTAAGGTGGAACACAACAGAAACAAACTTACCCAGTGTGAGAGAGAAAAAAGACAAAACCCAGATACGAGTATCTTTTGGAAACAGTATTTTTGTTTTTTGAGACAGAGTCTCACTCTGTAGTTCAGGCTCGCCTTTAACTCATCTGGTGGCCCAGGCTGACTCCAAATCATGGTGATCCTTTTGCCTCGGCCTTCCAACTACACAGGCAAACCCAGCTTGACCAAGTACTTTCACTGTATAGATTCAAACCAATCAAAGATTTGTAGATACACACTGATGCGTCAATGTTTTTACAGTGATTATGGATTAGCAGTTCTGAGACTTTCAGTATATTCTAGGACTGAGCAAAAATAGTCTGCAAATATATTGAACATAATAGGAACCATATTTCTATTTTTTAAATAAAAGACTGGATTGTCACAAATATGGGAAGAGGGAAGAGCAGAACAAGGTCTGTGGCGTGAACTGGAATTGGTGATTTTTATTATAGTGACAAGTATGGGAGTTGCTACAAGATGATGTTTATGTGTAAGCATACACGTATCTATTTCCTAACTCTCTGCTGAAAGGCCCAGAAGTTACAGTCTCGGTTAACAATATACACACCTAACATTCAGGTCTTGTTTTCCAAAACCTTCTCCACAAAAAACCAAAACCAAACCCAGGACTTCTTGGGAAAAGAACTGATTTCACAGCTGGGGGAAAGAACATGTAGCTTGGAAAAGTTTGCTGTCTCAGAAAGCAAAGTGCTAACAAATGAAGGATGTCACAAGGACTCAAGGATAGCTGGAATGGCCCCTAATGGCCAAACCTGGGACAATCTAAGGATCTCAATAAATGAGAAAAGTAGCAAACTGGACCCCACTGAACATATAGGAATAAGTGAGTCCATATGCATAAACAAATAAATAAATGGAAAAGATAAATCTCTTTCCTTGGTGTGGGAATTAGCACAAATCACTGACAGATCTAAATGGGGGTAAAAAAACTGATGAAAAAAGGTTGTTTACCTGTCTCTTTCCAGAAAATCCTAATCACAAATTGGAAATAGTAACTTCACAGTGCAAATAATAAAGTGAATGATAAAGAGTTACGTCACCTGAAAGAGACCCTCCCCACCCAAAAAGTCACGTACCACAAGAACATGTCTTTTCTGGCTTCTGCCACAGTTGTCAGAAAACAGCGGACAAATCCAAGAGGAAGGATGTTCTACAATGTAAATGGCCCATGTGCTTCAAAAATGTTATTAAAGACAAAGACTGAACTATTCATGACAGTTACATATGCGTGATTGAAAGCTGGCTTCTGGACCAGGGAAAAACATTTCTATTTGCTAAAATGGGCATCACTGGGACAAGTGCCAAGTTAGGAAGGCTTACAGATCATGCAGACCATCACTTATTCTCTGACTTTCACACTGATCCCGTGGCTGAAGAAGAGGTTCCTGCTGGGGAGGCACATGCTGACTTTCTGGGGAAAGGTGCACCCCATCTGTAGCTCAGTCTCAGGGGAAGACTTGTTTTTATTGGGGGGAGGGAGAGAAGTAAGTAACAAAAGAAATCTTAAGTGGGAAATCTGAGTGGAGGGAGGTAGATATGCTTTGTGGTACTTCAAATTTTCTGAGTCAAATTATTTAAAAAAAAACTTTAAAAATCACAAAAATGCAGGTTACAGGGGAACCAGTCATTTATAACTACTCAAAAATTCACGAAACCTATTTACACACCCTGGGAGCTCTCTGCTGCCTTTTCAGCCTAGAATCCACAATGTGCACTTCATGCTTCCTTTTTTGGTAGTAGAAAACAAGCATTAGTTCTGGTTCTGATACAGATGTACAAGACATTAAGTCAAAGCAGGGGTAAAGAAGGAAGTTCAACGCCTGTCTGTTGGCCTGGGTCAGAGCAGAGCAGTGAAATCTGCAAATGTAAAGCAGCTCTCAAGGAGTAAGGTAACATAAGGGACTGTTCTAGAATCTTTTGTGGAAGCTTGGGAGAAGGGTAACCATAAGGGACTGTTCTAGAATCTTTTGTGGAAGCTTGCCCCTAAGCCTACTTCTTTAGTTCTAGAGAGTAAGAAATCCTAATAATCTGTGAATATACCTAACAGACTGCTAAGACAAAGGTACAGTTTCAAGGTGCCACCCATACCATGTCATTCACTTGTCACAAAACTGACTGCAATAGGAACTCATTTCAGAGTTAGGTCTCAAGTTTCCCAATAGGGCCTACAGTATTCAGGGAACAGTAAGGAAGCAGGGATGTTATGTGGCTACAAGAACTGGTCAAGAAGCATCCACCGCACATATACAACCATTTCATAGCATAAACTAGGGCCCTGGTCAGAAAATCCACCTCAACTCCTGTAAGAATTTAAGTGCCTGGGCAAAGTCTGGACCTGAAAGCTACCTCTGTTGGCAGGGTAGCATGCTAAGGTTGGGCTAGCAAACTTCTCCTGTAAAGGGGCAGAATCTAAAGACTCAGGCTTTGGGGGCTATATAGTATCAATCATAACTTTTCAGTTGTGTCATGCAAAAACTGCCTTCAATATCTTTAAGCCAGTGGCACAGATGCATCCTGACAAACATTAACTGACATGTCTGCCAGATTTGGCCTGCAGGTCCTGTGATACTCCTAGATTGCAATCTGTTAGCTGGGGTCTGGAAGTCTCTAGTGAAACATGTCAAACATTTTTTTTTTTTTTGCCTGTTCAGGGGCCAGGGGCACAACTCCAGGAAAATGAGGATGGAGGTTGGTGAGCTAGATCCAGGGCAGAGCCCCAAGGAAGTACTTCAAAAATATCTGGTGATATATGTATCTCGGAAAAGACATCATGGAAGGATATGGGCAAGAAAATGAGGTGCACAGATGTCTCTGGGGGCCTGCACAGTGAGGGACAGAACTGGAGGCCAGGACTGCAGTCACAACAGAGCAATGAGGAGGCAACTGATCTGCTTGCAGGTAAACATAGAGGAAAGCAGGGGAGTGGGGAAGTCTTGGGTGCAAGCTGTATGAAGGAGTCAGTAAGAAGGGGCGAGGCATTAGTGTATCACCACGGTGGAGGATGGCAGACTAACCAGACCTGAAAATGTTCAACTTGATTTTATAAAAACAAAACATCTACAACAGTCACTGATACAAAACTTATTCCCTATGACTGACTGCCAAACCGAAGTATTACTGTGGTTATCTACAACCAAAGGTCACTTTTTGGTAACTTTTAACCACAATAATGAACTCAATTCACGAATATGCAGCCTTCATAATCTTTTCCTCCTAACAAATATGGTAACCTGCTCACAAACTCAAAACAAAACAAAACAAAAACACCCACAGGAGAGCACATGAAGTGGGTTGATGGCAGGGGAAGGGAGCCTGTGAAGGGTGATTGTAAGGAGTGTTCCAGGGTTGGGTGGTTGAATGTGTGGAAGATGGTTGAGTGACCCTGGGTTTCAGGTCTGGACAGGCTGAAATAAGGGTCAGTGGAGTCTTAAAAGGAGCCTGGCTTGATTTCATTCCTCCTGGCCCACAGACTACTCCCTTGTATGAATCAACTGGTGTTTAATCAACTTTGACCGCTGGCTAAAAGCTTTCCCACAAGTAGTGCAGTCATAGGGCTTTATCCCAGTGTGAATCCTCTGGTGCTGAATTAGGACTGAACGCTGACTGAAGGCTTTTCCACACTCGCTGCATTTGTATGGCCTCTCACCAGTGTGGATTATCTGATGTTGAATAAGGTGTGAGCTTTGGCTGAAGCCTTTACCACACTCAACACATGTGTAGGGCTTCTCCCCAGTGTGCACTTTCTGGTGGTGAATAAGATTTGAGCTCCGGTTGAAGGCTTTACCACACTGGTTACACTCATGGGGTTTCAAACCGTTATGAATCCTCTGGTGCTGAATGAGGGTTGAGCTCTGGCTGAAGGTTTTCCCACACTCAGTACATTCATAGGGTTTCTCTCCAGTGTGGACTCGCTGGTGAAGGATGAGGTTGGAGCTGCGACCAAAAGTCTTCCCACACTCGTGGCACTCATATGGCTTGTCGCCAGTGTGTACTCCCTGATGCTGGATTAGAGCAGAGCTGTGGCTGAAGGCCTTTCCACAGACACTACATCCATACGGCTTCTCTCCGGTGTGGATTATCTGGTGCTTCCTGAGCACTGAACTGTAACTAAAGGCCTTTCCACATATGTTGCACACGTGAGGCTTTTCTCCAGTGTGAATTCTTTGATGCTGAATGAGACTGGAACTCTGACTAAATGCTTTCCCACAGTCACTGCACTTGTAAGGTTTCTCTCCAGTGTGAACCCTGTGATGCTTAATGAGGTTAGAGACTCGACTGAATGGTTTGCCACAATCATTACATTCATAGGGTTTCTCTCCAGTGTGAACCCTCTGATGCTTTCTGAGGTGTGCACTCTGGCTGAAGGCCTTCCTGCACTCCCCACACTCAAAAGGCTTTTCCCCTGTGTGAATCCTGTGGTGTTTAATGAGGTTTGAGCTCCGCCGGAAGGCCTTCCCACATTTGTCACACACGTATGGTTTCTCCCCAGAATGGATTCTCTGATGTTGGATAAGGTTTGAGCTCCTCCTAAAAGCCTTTCCACACTCACTGCATTCATAGGGCTTCTCACTCATGTGAGACTTTTGGTGCTTTTTAAGGCTTGAATTCTGGCTGAAGGCTTTCCCACATTCATTACACACATAAGGCCTCTCACTGCTGTGATGAACCTGATGCCCGGCCAGGTCTGCACACCCATGGAAAGCTTTCCCACATTCACTGCACTGATAGGCTTTCACACTCACCAGAGATGGCCGATGGTTTTTAAGAACTGAGTTCTGGTGGAAAGCTTTTCCACATTCATTACACATAAAGGACTTCTCTCCAGTGCTGGCTATCTGATGCTGAATAAGGTCAAGGTTTCCTCTGAAGGTTTTTCCACATCCATTACATATGAATGGGCTTTCACTTGTGGGAATGCTCTCATGGTCAGTTAGGTCCTCAGTGTGATGGAAGGCATTAAGGCCATACGTGTCATACAGATGTGATCTCTCTTCCATAGGGACTCCCTGATAGGCCATCAGTCTTGGGATCAGAATGAAGCTTCGGTCAAAACTATGACAATACAGACCTTTCTCCCTGAAGGGATCCTGAAGGAGCACTGTCACTGGTTTGAAGGCCCCCTTCTGATGGAGAGATGTACCAGGTTCTAACCTCCAAGGACCTTCCACTCCCCTTCTATTATGTCCTCACAGAATCCTCCAAACTCAGGCACCTGGGAAACATCATCTGAAGTTTTCTGCTATTTCTGCCTGTGATTTCAAATCCTCAGAAACATTTTCCTTCAGATAACACTCTTTGTCTTCAGTCCTGGTATCACAATCTGAAACAATAAATACCCAGTCATAGAAGGAACTGCAGTGACAGGAACAAGACAACATCCAGACAAATCTGCTGGGCCACAGGCTTCACCTTCTGCAGAGGAGGCATGGGAACAGGGACCCCACCATAGATGGTAGTCTAAATCTTGCAAAAAAACCAGAGAGGAGCTGACAGAGCTCCTAGGTAATAATGCTACTAGGAGCCAAAGAGCAAAAACCACTCACAGTCCCCAGGATTCCACATTTCAGAGATGCACTTACAGCTTGCCTATTAGGCCAGGTCAAGATGCTGAGTGCCCCTAGTTCTTTTCTTATCACACTTGGAGCAATTCTTGTTGGCGCTACCTGAAAACGTGCCAAATCCATGTGCATTTCACCCTCCACCAATAGGAAACATCATATGCCGATACATTATTACATATTTAATCCCTTTTCCTTCACAACATTGTAGGGTAAAAGCCTCTTAGGCCCATGTTTTTTCTCTCATGTGTACCAGCTAATGTTTTGGTTTGGTCTTAAGATTCAACTATATGAAGCAGAGCCCTGCTGCAGGTTTGAGAAGCCCATTTTTCTTTAGAGAAGCAGAGACAGTTATGAAGCATGCTGCTGACACTCCTGACGACCTCTGCTCACACACACTCCCTGGAGAGCTCTTTGCGGATTACTGAGCATATGCACCGGTTTCCCCTTTTCTTAGCTGTCCCCGCTGTCTCCTGTACTGCAGAGAGCACTCCCAGAAGCAGGTCAGAAAGGACCCCTGTTGAGTTACAGTAATTAATGCTCAGCGGTAGAGGACACATATTCTTCAAATGCTCTCGCTGTCTTCCTTGAGTCTGTCTCGGCTGCATCTACTTTCTGAGTATTCCTCCCTGAATGTGACATATGGAGCTACTTCCAAGTTTAGACACACTCATTTCCAGCAGCTGCCCATGATGTCAACCTCAGATGCAACTTGGTCATATGCTCAGCCCTCACAGATCCAGCCCCTTTTCCTGTTGCAGCAGTTTCTCTTGCCGTTTACTGACACCTGTAGCTCAGATGCAGTGTGGCTAGGCCTCAAGTCACAATGCCCCCATCCCCATAGGTGCCTTGGCTCTATGGTACATTTAGGAAATGTAATATTCACATGATACTGGGGTATTGATAGAATAGAGAAAATAGAGTACAAGACAATTAAGGGCTGGATAGGAGTCCACAGCCCTGCCAGCTATGGCCTCGAGCTGAGAAGTCCTCTTGTCAAGTCAACATTTTGAAAGCCCATCTTCTGGCTGAGTGGGAGGAACTGAACAAGGAAGGATGCAGGCTGTGGCAATAACAGAGGTAGCAGTTAGTACAGCTTTGACACCTTGTCAAAGTCTCTGTCACTGTCAAGTGGGTTTCTTTTGTTGTTGTTTAAAAACCCTCAGTATCAGTTCTGCACATGCTAAAGATTAAAGCTGGATCCATATCTTTCACCATGCACTAAACTAACCTTGGAATGGATCAAAGATCTAAATAGTAAAACAAAACACTAAAATTTTTGGAAGATAGAGTAGGTAAAACTCAAATACAATGGTATAGGCAAAGACTTTATGAACACAATTCCAATTACACAGGAAGTATCATAGTGTCAACAACTAGGATCTCATCTTATTGAAAAGCTTTTGCACAGCAAGAAAAACCACCAGCAAAGTGAAGAGACAACCCACAACATGGGAGAAAACGTTTGTCTGCTGTACCTCAACAAAGGATTACTATCAAGAACATAAAAAGAACTAAAAACAAACAAACAAAAAATCAGGCCTCCTACATTTAAAGACCCAATCCAGAAATGGGAATATGAGATAACATACATTTTTCAGTGAAGAAATACAAACAGCAAACAAATATATGAAAAAATGTTCAATATTACTGGTCACTTGAGAGATGCAAATCAAAACAAAACTGAGATTCTACCTTATTCTGGAAAGAATGGTTAATTTCAACAAATCAACCAAAAACAAATGCTGGAGGGGCTGTGGGGAAAAAGGAACCTTTCTCCACTGTTGGTAGGAGTGTAGACTGGTATAAACACTGTGGAAATCAGAGTGGAGATTCCTCAAAAAACTGTGACTGGTGGTCCCATTTGACCCAGTTATTCCTCTTCTGGGTATCTTCCCAGAAGAATTAAGAATATTGTACCATAGTGATATAAGTGCACACATGTTTATAGCAGCAGAATTTGTAATAGCCAAACCTTGGAAACAACCTAAATGCCCATCAACTGAGGAATGGATAAAAATGATGTGGTATTTTTAGAAAATGGAGTACTACTCAGACATAAACAAGGATAAACTAGACTTTTATAGGTAAATGAATGAAACTTGAGATCATACTTATAAGTGAAATAAATCAGGCATGCATGTGTAAACATCATAGTCTCACTAGTGTGAGAAGCTGAAAAAAACAATGTATATATATATATAATATGCAATTTATATACCTTTGTTACCCCCTAATTACTGTTTTGAAATTGTTTTACTTTTTCACTTTAAAATAAAATAGATTTGAATAAAAAACCCCGTCAATATCAGTTTCAGTTCACAGGACATATGAAACAGGTTGTTAGCTGAATTTGGTGACCCACTCATTGAGATGTTACCAGAGTGGACAAGAAGTGTGGTAACGCAGAAATGGTGTTCTAGCTGGAGTCACTGTTTAGATGGGTCTTTTACTGAGATAAGGAGAATGCTGGATCACTTTTGGATTTAAAATAAATTTGATGTAATTCATCTTTTCAACTTAAGAAATACAATAAAAATGGTGAAAGTTTTTATTTGGAAGGGAAAACAAAATCAGAAGTAAGGTCTCTCTTTAGGAAAAATCTTTAAAATGCCAGTAAAATTTGGGCTTACAAGCAAAAGAAAAGATCTGAGAGCAAACAGCTGTCTGTACTACACTCACTATACTGAGACTGACTCAGTCCTTCCACAGCAAAAGACAAAGTATTTCTCTTGAGGGGGACATTTACGATTAGTAGCTTCCAGGTACCATAGCAGCTAGAGTCCCTCATCACAACAGCATCCTGTGACCACAACCAAAAAGCTTCTCCGGGGTGCAGTAGCACCTTCAGTGCCGCAGCCAGGTTGTCTCCTGGGCAGACCCCAAGATGAACCTCACACTCAAGTGGGAAACCATTAGTTACCTACCTCCTGCAGTTACTTGTTTCCCTTTAATAGTTTATAGATGAAATTCACATAAGTAATTGTTCTATAGTGGACAGTTCACAATACTATATAATCACCACTGATATTTTCTAAAACACTTCCATTACTCTAGAGTAAAATCCTTTACTCCTAGCCAGGCATACACCAGATGTGTCCTGTGCCCATCCCACTTACTGGAGAGAATGAAGGCATACTGCCTGACTCCAGGAATTTGAGGGCAGTATGGACAACACAGCAAGGTCCTAACTCCCCACACCTCTAAAACTTTACTCAATAAGCAGTAGTCTGTCACTATCTTCCCCTCACTCCAGCTCTTAGAAACCACCTACCAATACTCTGTCCCTATGGATGGAGTAGTCCCTATTTTAGGTCTTTCATATGGTGAAATCACACACTATATGACCTTTTGTGTCTGACTTTTCATTTGGGATGTTTTGAAGGTTCATTCATGTAGCATGCATCAGTGGTTCACTTATTATGGCTGAATTATATTCCCTGCATAGTACAACCCATCCCTGCACAGTTGAGTTGATTGCATCTTTCACTTATTGTAAATAGGGTTGCTACAACCACGATGTATATACACAGATTCTCCTTAATTTATAATTTATGGGCTGATAAATCCATTTGGAGGAATCCAATTTGTCATAATCACAACCATCTTGGTTGTCACTGTCATTCTGCCAACAAGATGATCCTGATACATATCCCAAACCCTACAGGACAGTCATTAAGATAGTCATTGGAGCTTGTTGTGCTAGCTAATGACACCCAGCGTGTTTCTAAACTGATGTTGAATATTTTTAGAAAGGTCAGGTAAACTCGGTGTGGTGACACATGCCTGTAATCCCAGCACTTGGGAGGTGGAGGCAGGAGGATTGCTGCAAGTTCAAAGCCAGTGTGGGTTACAAAGTGAGTTTGAGGTCAGCTTGAACTGAATAGTGAAACCCTGTATCAAAAAGAAAAAAACCAAAAACAAACAAAAAGCCCCAAACCAAAACATAAAAAAGAAAGGCCAGGTAATTGTAGAAGACTACATGGGCACCTCTCCTTGAATGCAGAACAATTGCTGCAACATTAGTTAAATCGAGTCTTATTTCCATACATGGCTATGTGTAGAGCTGGCTATGGTATTTCTTTCTCTCTTCAACTTGGCTCCAAGCAATGCAAATAAGATCAGTTGAAGCACTGACATGTAATCTTTGGGGCCATGCTGACAATCTCCTGTTTCCTTAAATAGTGCTGTCTGTAAAAGATACGAGCACAGCAGGATGGCAGAGCCAGTCAGCTCCAGGAATGTCAACTGAGTATGAGCTTCGAAATAAAAGAGGCCATGAGTCTGCAGGGCACAAAACTTCATGTATCAGAAACTGAAGCAACAACTTTTAAAAACAATTCAATTGCTACTTTAATTGAATTGTGCAGATTGATCCTTCTGCATATCATTCTCCCTGCATTTTGCAAAGATGCTTTTCTCCCTACCTGGTTAGCCAGCTCATGTTATTCATGTAGTTCCCTCCATCCCCATTGTCACTCATATTTGAATCACCTCCTTCTTCACAAGACATAAATTCTGGAAGAGGCCTTGGAGTATGGCCTTTGTCTGCCTGTTTTCACTAGGATCGGGCTTAGGATCCATTGGCTGCCGTTAACTTTGAATATGTCTTGGTGTCTCTACTCTCGTGAGTTGCATTGGAAGTGGCAGATTAGAATTAATTTGCTGGGATTCCAACAACTTTTCAATGGGATTATAAATAAAACTTTTCTGGATTGTGGAGAAGACTAGAAAAGAGATTACAATACTTGTATTACAGTAC